AGACATACGAGCCTATGGGGATCGCTGTCATTCAGACCACCACGTTCTTAACCGCTGAACAATCTCCTCAGCCCCTGCTTTGCTTTGTTTTTCCCCTTCCAGACAATATCTCGTGTAGCCAAGGCTGTTCTTGAACTCCTGATCCTCCTGCCTCCAGCTCCTGAGTGGAGGGATTTTAAGTGAGCGCCACCACTCCTGGCTTTAGCGCTAAGTTTTTTTAAAAGGTATCTCTAACACCCTCAGGTCATTTTCAGACCTCAGATTCAATGGCCCTGTGGTCTCCCTGAAGACGATGGCTGGAACCTGTGTCTCATGAACAAATGAATGAATGAAAACTAAGAAGAAAGTCATTACTGGGCCAGAATCTTTGCTAACTGGCATATCCCCCCCCCCCCTTTTTTTTTTTTTGATAGCTGCCTCCAGAATATGCTGACTTCACAAGACCCTCATCCCAGCTTTACCCTGTGCTCCTTCGTCACTGCACGACCTTAGACTTAGCACTTCACCTTTCGGCCTCATTTCCCCCATTATCGTAGAGGCCTTTTAATCCAGCAACGTGGCTACCATGGCAAGGGGTCACATCCAAAGACTTAGAACACGCCTTTAATCCCAGCCCTCACACCTTAGACTGAGAACAGACAGGAAAGAGAGTCTGCTTGAGAGCAGTTCAGGGAGAAAGAGGAGTAGAGTCCAGTTTGGTAGAGTTGAGTTCATGTAGTCAGGGCAGTTCAGTGAGTGGAGTTCAGAGGCCATTTTTCCCCAAGCAGAGCAATTCAGTGAGATGTGGAGAGAAGCCAGTTGAATCAGTCAGTTTGGAGAGGAGTTTTGACCCAGAGCAGCTGAGTTGAACCATCCAGCCAGAGTTCAGAAAGAATTAGAAAGGGTGAGTTTATTCAGCAGTAAGTCTCCCTTCAAGGTCTGGGCTTGCAGAAGATTAGATTGTACGGAGGCTCGAGGCTTCCAGGCCCAGCCTAGGGATAGTCAGGTAGAAACTCTCTGGGCTCAGCCCATACTATGTATTCACACAGTTTGGGTACAGCTCTCATCTCATCCTGTCTTCTGAGGAAATAAAGGCGACATTTACACATCACGAAAACAATGGTTTTATTGTAGCAACCAAACCTTCTAAAATACAAAAGGCTCTTAATTTAGATGAACTCCTATTTTGGTGGGTACATCTGGAATTAAGCCTAAGGAACTGAGGGTTCAGGGCCGCAGGTACTGCTGGCTCCCAGTTACTATCATCACCTTGTCCCTGCCTTGGGGAGGGGTGATTCCTGGGGGAGCAGCTGGCTCAGGGGAAGGTATGAAAAAGTCTCAGGCAGCTATCACCTTTGTTAGCACAACCACAGTCAGATGGATGGTTGCAACCTCACTGAGGCCAGCATAGTCTCGCCTTCGGTCTCATTCACCCTGCAGAAGCAGACTAGATGGATCTTACCCGTCATACAGGCAACAGTTATTTTTAACATTCAAACAAGGATAATTTAATTTTCTTTTCATTGATTAATTTTTGTTATTTGACAGTTTCATATGTGTATATATAATTTATTTATTTTTGTTGTTGTTGTTTGTTTGTTTTGAAACAGTGTCTCTCTGTGTAGCCCTGGCTGGCCTGGAACTCACTTTGCAGATCAGGCTGGTCTCGAACTCACAGAGAGCCAGCTACCTCCCTGGGATTAAAGGCGTGTGCCGCCATGCCTGGCCCTGTTTTAATTGTTTAATGTGACTCTACATTAAACAGAAGGTGCTTTGCGTGAACAGCCCGATGTGTGCATGCGGAAGTCAGAGGTCAAATTGTGGGAGTCAGACAGGCTGCCAGACTTGCTCAGCGGGTGCTTCTGTCACTGAGCCACCTTACTGGCCCGATGTTTACAGAGTAGCTCTTACTGATCAAGGACTCTGTAGGGTGTGTCGGATGCCCTGAGAGTAAAAGCAGGAAGGTCCCTGCAGGTTGTTGGAGACTGTGGAGTAGACAGTTTAGGGGAAGTGAGGTTATTACTCCCCAAAAGAACTACAGGAGGCTGTGGAGATACAGATGAGGCTCTCATCTTGGGAGCGAGCAGGGTGAGCTTCCTTTCAGATAAGAGCTAGGCCCTGACCTCAGACAGGGGCAACAGCACAGGCAAAGGCCCTTCGGCAAGTGACTGAAAGGCGGGAAGTGCGGTTGTAAATTCCATGGCTGTGCAGAATTACAAAGTATTGCAGACACCTCAGGGAACACGTGCGCCAAGAGGATGGCGGGAACCAAGTCCTCGGCAGGGGACGATTCTCAGTGACGTGCTGGAGGTGTGGGTGGAAAGAAACAGATGTGCATTAGTCAGTGTTCTCAAAGGAAAGTAATGGATAGGATGAAGTAATAAATCTATTGGAAAGGGACTTGTGGGGCTGGAGAGATGGCTCAGGGGCGAAGAGCACTAGCCGCTCTTCCAGAAGACCCAGGTTCAATTCCCAGCACCCACCTGGTGGCTCACAACCGATCTACAGGATTCGACACCTTCACACAGATGTACATGAAAGCAAAACACCAATGTACATAAAACAAAAATAAAATAAGCATGGAAAAAAAAAAAAGCCAAGTGGACCAGGAAGTGGTGGTGTGCTCCTTTAATCCCAGAACTTGGGAGGCAGAGGCAGGGGGATCTCTGTGGGATCAAGGCCAGCCTGGTCTATGGAATGAGTTCCAGGACAGCCAGGGCTACACAGGGAAACCCTGTCTCAAAAACAAAACAAAAAGCCAGGTGGTGGAAGGGCAGGCCTTTAAACCCAGCATTCAGGAGGCAGAGGTAGGCCGACCTCTGGGTTCAAGACCAGCTCGCTGTACAGAGTGAGTTCCAAGACAGCCAGGGCTACACAGAGAGTCCCTGGTGTGTGTGTGTGTGGGGGGGGGGGAGTACTCTTTAAAGATTTTTTTTTTTTTCTGAAAATGTGTTGTTATAGTTTCCCCTGGAAACCTCTAGCTCTTGTGTGTAGGTCAGCCCAGGAGAGGCAAACCCCGGAACATGGAAACCACTTGAAATCTGTTAGTGGAGCATGTGTGAACAAGCACTGTTCCCTTAGCACAGTCGCTCCGGAGAAACATGTATGTGGGACTGTTAGGTGTGGTCTACCCCTCCCCCACACCGGTTGCTTCATCTCCTCTCACTACCTGCTTGACAAACGCGCAGGGTAGCAGTACACGCAATATACAGCAGCACGCCATTTCCTGCTTCCTTTTAAAATAATTTAAAATTTTAATTTTATTTTATGTGCCTGGGATAAGGGTATCAAATCCTTTGGAACTACTAGAGTTACAGACAGTTGTAAGCTGCCATGTGGGTACTGGGAATTGAACCAATCTCTACAGCCTTTTTTGTTTTGTTTTGTTTTGTTTTTCAAGACAGGGTTTCTGTATAGCCCTGGCTGCCTGCCCTGGATCTATGGACCAGGCTGGCCTCAAACTCACAAAGATCCCCCTGCCTCTGCCTCCTGAGTGCTGGGATTAAAGGCGTGCACCACCACGCCCCAGCTACACCCTTTCTCTCTAAAGCCCAGAAAGGGAAAAGATGCTGACGGTTCAATATGGCAGCACAGGGAGGGAGGAATGCCAGACCCTGGATCTGCCTGCCTCCCGCCCCTCTGATTCTTTTCTCCCACCACTGTGGCTTCCTGAGGACAAATCCATGAACCTGAAGATGGGAGAAGGGACTGAAGAGGCTGGGGCGGGGAAGGCAGACAGGGAGAGACAGACACAAATCTGTTAGGGTAGAAGTATAGGTTATATGTTCTCTGCCCAGAGGAGGTGGGAGGGCAGGAAATGAGAGCCAACAGCAGCAAAGCACAAGAGTTCAAACAGGACAGTGGTAGCATGGTCAGGATGGGACTTCTCAGGGACCCAGAGCCCTGAACGAGGGATCTCCTTTTTCCTCCCGGAGGGCCCCTTGGGCGCCCTGTGGAAACACAGATGACACAGAAGTCCCCGGAGGGAGGGGGCAACAGCAGCTCAGGTAGATTTTCCGTTTTGGTACTTATTTTTTTTTTTTTCCAGCACCAGAGATTGATCATAAATCCTCACACTTGTGTTCTGGCACTTTAAATCCTCACACGTTAGGTAAGATGTCTACCTCTGAGCTATCCCCAGGCCAGCCCTCCTCCCCTTATAGTCTCATATAGCCTAGGTAGACCTCAAGCTTATTAAGTAGCTGAAAATGACTCAAAATTATTATTGTTGTTGTTATTAAATTACTAATAAAAATTAGCCTGGCCTGGTGATACATGTTCTATCTATCTATCTATCTATCTATCTATCTATCTATCTATCTATCTATCTATCTAATTTTCCTCTTGGGGCAGGGTTAAGACAGGGGTTTCTTTGTGTATCCCTGGCTGTCCCGAAAATCACTTTGTAGACCAGGCTGGCTTTGAAGTCAGAAATCCACCTGCCGCTGCCTCTGGAATGCTGGAATGAAAGGTGTGCACCTGGCCTTGACGCAAGCCTTTAATCTCAGCATTCAGAAAGCAGAGGCAGTCAGATTCTGTGAGTCCAAGGCCACCTTGGTCTACATAGTAAGAGCTTGTCTAAATAAACAAGCAAGCAAATGAAGGAATAAATAGATAAAAAGAGAAAGAAAAGGAAAAAATGACCTGGTAAAAAACCCTTGAACTTCTGACCTTCCTGCACCATCACATCTGGACTCCCAACCTTTCAAATTTATTTTTAGCTTTTATTTTGAAACAGGATCTAGACCAGCCTTAAGCTCACTCTACAGCCCAGGTGGGCCTTGAACTTGCCATCCCCTTGCCTCAGCCTTACAGTCCTGTCACTAAGGCCTGGCTTTCTCTGACAATGTTCTGAAAGGCCTGTTTTCTTGCACAGTCTTCTTCAGGCTGAAGCTAATCTAGGACAGGGTACACACTGAATCTACTGAATCTCCCTATTCCCCCCAGTGCGGTACACAGTAAATACCTCTTTTTATTTTATTTTTTTTAATAATTTATTTATTTTTTTATTTTATGTGCATTAGTGTGAAGGTGTCAGATCCCTTGGAACTGGCATTACAGACAGTTGTGAGCTGCCATGTGGGTGCTGGGAATTGAACCTGGATCCTTTGGAAGAGCAGACAGTGCTCTTAACCACCTGGGCCATCTCTCCAGCCCCCTCTTTTTATTTTTAAGAGCATGAATGGTTCGCCTGCATGTATGTCTGTGCACCACGACACGCCTGGTGTTTGTGGAAACTGGAACTGGAATTACAGATGATTATGAGGTGGATGCCGGGAATCGAACCCTGGTCCTCTGAAAGAACAGGCCGTGCTCTTAACTTGCTAACAGCTGAGCCGTATCTCCACCACCTGGGTTTTTTTGTTGACCACAAACAAGCATAGCATGGTTGTGATGCATGAGCAGAACACACATTGTTCCCAGCTTCTGAAGGATCTGGCTTTACAGATCAGAGCCCAGACCTGTGCTTTGCTGTTGCCCAGCTCCTCTGTGGACCAGTGGGCGTAGCAGCCTTTTTGGACCCTTAAAAAGGCAATCGAAAACCAGACAGGTTCACCTAGTTTACTGGGACTCATACAGTATAGGAGCCTGCACAAGCCACGGTCAGAGAATCAAGAGTCCTCCCCATGAGGATAGGGACCGGAGCAGACTTATGGAATGCCCCTAGTGCCACCGGGCAGCAGACAGGCTTCTGCATGTTTGGGTGAGCCCAGGGACTCAGGCCAGAATATTTCAAAAATGCTCTTTGCTGTACCCTCCTAGGGCTCACGGGCCCAGGTGACTAGGCAGGTTGGTGCCTGTTCGGAGATCACCCCACCCATTCCTGCTTTGCTCCTTACCCGTGCCCTCTGGACCTGGCTGGGATCCGAGGAGTCCAGGAGACCGTGTGGCCTCCAGGCAGTTAAGAGGAGGAGCCCTTAAGGCTCACTCTCCGGTCTCCATTAAATAACAGCCAGCCCTTAAAACTTGGAAGATCTTGATAGTCTTGCCCTAGTTGGAAAACAAGGTCCAAAGGGAGCCACATGCCTGATGTCACGGAAGTTCTAAAGCAGGTGTCCTCATTCCTAGTCAAACTGTTCTAGCAAGCCAGAGTTTAAGGGATGCTTAAATAAGGTAATACGTAGTAGTTGTTTTTCGAGACAGGGCTTTTCGGTGTAGCTTCTGCTGTCCCAGATTCAATTTGTAGACCCCAGACTCAGAGATCCGCCTGCCTCTGCCTCCCTAATTGCTGGGATTACAGGCCTGTGCCACTGAGCCTGGCAGTTAACCCTGGAGGCAGAGACAGGCTGCTTTTTATGAGTTCCAGCCCAGCCTGGTCTACACAGTGAGTTCCAGCACAGGCAGGGCTCTGCAGAGAGTCCTTGTCTCAAGACAGAAACAAAATTAAAGCTGATTGTGGTGGTACATACCTTAAATCCCAGCGCTAGAGAGGCAGAAGTAGAGAGATGGCCAAGTTTGAGACCAGCTTGGTCTGCAGAGAGAGTTCCAAGACAGTGAGGGCTACACAGATAAACCCTATCTCAAAAAAAAAAAAAAAACCAACCAAAAAAACCTAATAGGCCCAGGTGTGCTAAGAAAGTAGTTCATTCAAGAACATGAGCCTCCTGCCAGACATGGTGCTGTAATCCCAGTTTGGAGTTTGGGTGAGTAGAGGAGGGAGGACCAAGTCAACCTCAGCTACACAGTGAGCTGGAGTCTAGCTTGTCTGGAAACACACATACCTGGTGTGTTTCTATAAATGACTATAGATGAGACGGGGTTCCAGGTCCCCCTACATCTCAGAAAAACAACAAAGAGGAACAAACAAGCCTTCTCCCCTAGGGCCAGCACCTTTTTCTTGATCAGAAGGGGACACTTCCTTCTGATTAAGAATACAGTTGGAGGATGGGGGCTGGAGAGCTAGGTGGCTTGGCCGTTTAGAGCACTGGCTGCTCTTCCGGGAAGACTGAGGTTCGATTCTCAGCACCCACAGGCAGCTCACAAGCGTCTGTACCTCCAGGGCCAGAGGATCCAACACCCTCACACAGACATCCATGCAGGCCAAACATCAGGGCACACACAGGGAAAATGAAAAGTTGGGGTCCTAAGGGGTGTGGCTCAGTTGGAAAAGGGGTTAGTGCCCGAAGGCAAGGTACTTTCTTAACGTCCCTAGGTGCCTGCCTCTGTAAAACTGGAAACACTAAAGCCACCCGCCAAGAAGCTGTCCAGATCACGTGGCCAAGGTCACCCAGATGGTTCCTGGAAAAGTTAGTTAGTGGTCTTCTTCCCTCAGGTGGGCCGTGACCTTGGATTCCTGGCTTCTTGGCTTCACCACTGGAACCTCGGACAAGTGACTCAGCCTCGTGGTGAGGCTCAGCTGGAAAGCTCCACTCTGGCCACCTGAGTCGAAGCTCAGCACGGACTTGAGCAAGCTCTGTCACCTCAGGCGACTCTTCTTCGCTCTCCGCCGGGTCGGGTGACCCAAGTCCTAAAGTGAAACTGATAAGGAGCACGAACTTCGACTCTGTGCTTTGCTGAGCGTGTGCCTGGGATGCCTGGACCATGGCTCACTCTTCCCTCCTGTCTCTGTCCCCATCTTTAGACATAGGGCTGATGGCCCCATTGGTTCACTCTCTGTTAAGAGGGAAAGTAAAGAAGATTGAAAGATGGACAAGGAATGTTGTGAGCGTTTTAGCTTGTACCTCGCAGGAGCAGGGGGGAAGGGAAATGGATGGAGTGTGTTGGGGGGGAATAGGCATTCCCCCATCCCCCCCCCCCCCCCCCCGTGCTGGGGCTAGAGATGGTTCAGCAGTGAAGAGTGCTCCTGCTGGCCTCTCAGAGAACCAGAGTTCAGTTCCCAGCGCCCATACTGGGCAGCAGCTCACCTATATTACAGTCACTGCCTGTATCTCCAGCTCCAGGGGATCTGAAGCTCCTGGCCTCCAACCGGTACTTGTATGCTCATCTCAAGCATATACCCACATACACGCGTAGTTTAAAATAAAATAAAGCTTTAAAACGCATCAAAGGTTTCTGTGTCTGGGCCTGCGAGTGTCAGTGGTAGCTGTTCCCTGGCGTGCCCGACTGTCCATCCAACACCGCTACACTTATTTCACTAAGGCGCTCTGCAGGCCGCACAGGTGAGTTCTGGCATCCCCGTGACCGGGCTAGAAGGCAGAACAGGCAGCAAAAAGGGAGATAATTAGTGGAGGCCAAAAGTCCTCTACCAGCTCTCCCTGACAACATCCGTGAATCTAGAAACGAGGATGAGCTTGCACCAGAGAATCAGGATTTTTTTTTTTTTTTTCAAGACATGGTCTTACTATGTAGCTCTGACTTTATCGTAACTCTTTCTGTAGACCAGGCTGGCTTTGAATCTCACAGAGATACAAACAAACAAAACCCAAGAGCCGGATTCCTGAAGCACATCTGTAATCCCAGAACTCGGGGAGGCAGAGGCAGGCGGATCTCTGAGAGTTCAAGGACAGATTGGTCTACAAAGTGAGTCCAGGACAGCCAAGGCTACACAGATAAGCCCTATCTTGGAAAAACAAAATAAAACAAACAAACAAAAATCTAAGGCCTCTAGAGTCAGTACCTGGGTGTGAGTCACAGAGCTAAATAAAACAAACAGGAATTGGGTGGTTAGTTGCTGGCACATGCCTTTAATCCCATTGTCCCAAGTCTACAAGGTGACTTCTAGGACAGGCAGGGCTACACAGGGAAACCCTGTCGGTCTGGAAGACAACAACAAAGACAAACATGGTCTCCGCCAACATTTACTTAAAGGAGAGCAAAAGTGAGAGGCATACTGTGAGGTCCTAGATAAACCAATTGGGCCGGAACCCCAGCAACTACCATCCCTTAACTGGATGGCCCAGAGCAAGTGCAGTTAGCTTCTATTTTCTTCTTTTCTGACTGCCACCATTTTGGTAGGAGAGAAAGGATCAGATCACGGATCCACACGTTCAGATCTTTCCAGCACCTACCCACTGCTCTGCCAGTACATACTGGACTGGCATAAGGAAAGGTATTAGAAGCACATGCCTCGCTCAGGAGGTGGAGACAGGAGATCAGAAGCTGAAGGTTATTCTGGACTATAAAGCAAGATCCAGACTAGCTTGGGCTACGCGGAAGTGTCTCAAAGGTTGGGGGCACTTCAGGGCAGAGACCAGATACAACACAGCCGCTAAAGACCGTGTGAGCCTGTCTTTGGCAGGGTGTGGAGAGAAACAGCTTCTGCAAGAGGAAAGATTGCAGAGTATGGTGACTCAGGCCTTTAATCCATCAAACCGGAGGCAGGGGGATTAGGAGCTCCAGGCAGGAGGACTAGCAGGGTGGGTAAGTGAGCTCAGCACAAGCCATAAAAGACCCCAGCTCAAAATTTTCTTTTAAAAGGGCCTGGCCTGGCAAGGCGGAAGGAGCATGGGCACCTACTAGTTGGCCTCTGACCTCAGCAAGGTAAGGTGAAGGGGCACCGCTGGGTTAGGAACAGGGGCAATGGAGAAGTCATGGGCAAAGGTTTAAAGGATGGTGGGGTGGTGGGTCAGGCTCGCAGCCTTTCTATCTACCTTTATACTGGGAGAACCATGCATGGAGTACCGGTATTCAGAGCTACAGGTCGGAGGAGGGCTGAAGTTCGACCCAGGCCGGGGTACCCCTCCTTCTCACCTAGAGATCCCGTCCTGTGACTGAGTGACGAGTTCTTGTGTTTGAACTCTTGGGCAAACTGTTTCTCCTGGGTCAAGGGCTCGGTTCACAGTCCGGGCTCAGGAAATCTTAGGCTTCAACACCTCTTCTCTCTTGATCTTAACCTCGGTGTCCTGAGGGCTGGGAAGGATGGCAAAGCTCCCCAGAGGGGGGGGGAAAAAAAAAAAACAGCGGGAGACGGAGCCAGGAGCGCGCACCCTCGGGACTCGTGAGAAGGCGGGTTATTCGCTCCACTGGGCTCCGCGTCGGTCCTCCAACTCCGTGTTTACGCGGTGCTGCGTGAGTCCCTCCGCCCGCAAGCCCGAGTGCTCGGGAGTCTGGGGGACCGGGTTCCGAGGACGCGGCGGGTCGCCGTGGCTCCTCCGGGAAGGGCGGAGGGCGGCGAGCCCCGCGCACGTGGAGAGGGCGCTGCTCGGCTCCTCCGACCGTCCGGCGGGCGGCGGAGGGGCCGCATGCAAATCCCCCGCGCCGAGCCCAGCGAGGGGGGCGGGCAGGGTGACAGTGACTCACGCGCGTGCCCACGCGCACGCAGAGGGTGCCCCGCACCCACGCCAGTCGGACGGGACGCGCCACGCTCCACCCGTCCCGCCCGCCCGCCTGGTCCCACCGCCGCTCGCGCGGCCTCGGGGACAGCCGGGAGGCGTGGCTCGCGGGCAGCCCGCCCCTTTGATGTGCGCCGGCGCCGCGGTGATTGGCCGGGCGCTTGTGACGTGCGGGGACTGCGGTGGGCCCGGGTGCTGCGGCAGCCGCAGCGCCCGCCGCGGCTCGAGCTCAGGCTCCCCGGCATTTAAAGGGAACGCAGCGGCGGACCCGGGGATGGGGGCAGGTGGAAGGGACGGAGCAGAAGCACATCATCCACAGTCCCTCGGGGCTGGAGGGACGCGTGAGCCGGAGCTCAGAGATCCGGGGGTGGATAAGACCGCGTCCCCCCCAATTCCCGTAAGCACCCCTTGCTCCATCCTGCCCCTAGATCCCTTAACTAGCCCCCTTCCCACTACTTCCACTCCAAACTCTATTGGGACACACAGCGGGACCGCCGCTGCCCTGCGTGAGTCCTGGGGCTCCGGGAGGACCGCAGTCTCAGTGTTGGGGTGGGGGCCGTGCGGAGTTTGAGGGTGTTTCATGCGCTTGGTGGTGGGGGTAATCCCTGGGGTACGGAACTGGCCCCCCCTTCTTTCCCAGGTTTGTGGTGCTCAGTGTCCCCTCATCTCCGGGGACTGTCATAGCTCCCCGCCACCCACAAGTCTTCCCTTCTCCCCGGCCGCGCACCCCCCGCCCGCATTAGAGCGAAGCGCCGGCCAGCTGGGGGTGTGCCAGAGTGCCTGCTTTCCAGTCACCTCTAAAAATATCTCTCCTGCTACCCCACCGGCAGCTGCCGTCTCCCTGTCCCTACTCGGTGAGGATCACCTCCGCCTGTCCACCCAGGCAGGGCACCCCAGAGGCGACGTCTAACCCCAGATTCCTCGCTGGCACCAGGGCACAGATCATTACCCCCTAGCTAGCCAGGACAGGGGGCATTCCAGAGCCTCCCAGCAGCCGGGGAAGGTTCGGCTAGTTTCTCCAAGAGACCCCAGAGTTAATTCTGTTTGGGATGCTGTTTGACGCCGGTGATGTAAGCTGGACCTCTCTGGGCTTTTTCTTTTTTTTTTCTTTTCCTATTAAGGGTTCATGAACAAGAAGGGGGTTCCTGAAGTTGAGTGTTAAGGGCAAGAATCCTAGCTTAATTGTCGGATCTAATTTCTGGTGCCGGACATATTTATTCTTGGAGCCGAGAGGGCTGTTACTTTGACTTTTCTGAAGTCCTCAACCCCATTCTCAGCCTGCATGTTTCTTCTGGAAGACTCTCCGAACTTTCCTATGGGCTATACCCTCTCCCCAATTAGAATTTCAAGCTTAGAGCTCTCTCTCACTCACACGAACTCCTACCTTCCCACAGACTTAACCTAAGCGTATCTGTGTCAAAGGAGGGAGAGAGTGGGTAGAGGCTGTGATCTGATGTGGAGTCCGGGACCACAGAGGTTGATTTTTGGTGGGACTAGAAAAGAACTATCTTCAGCCCCAGAGAATCTGCCCCTCACAGCTCTAGCTGGAGAAACTCAAGAGGTCCTGTCCTCATTCTCCACCAGGGACTCTAGTAGCCCACACAGGATTTTTTGTTGTTGCCGTTTTTTAAGACTGGGTTTCTCTGTGTACCCCGCTGTCCTGGAACTCACTTTTCATGTAGCTCGGGCTGGCCTCGAACTCAGATTCTCCTGGCTGGCCCTCCCTCCTGCATCACCAGGCCAAGCAACTGCCATTGGCCTTTTTGAATGCTATGGAGGGAAACAATAACTAGGGGAGAGTGGGGCAGGGATGGGGTGTCACGGTGAGGCTGCTTTAGTGTCTGGGAAGAAACCAGGGGTGCCTGGCTTTCTTCTGTGGGCATAAGAAAGAAGCAAGGGTATGAAAACTGATCTTAGCAGAGTATTTATCACATGCCTGAATCCCTGTGCTCTGGAGTCTCAGAACTAAAAACAAACAGTATTAGATTAAGGGTGTGCTGTATAACAAGCCTGGAAAGCCCTGGGGTCAGTGCTGACTGGGAGGGAAGGGAGAAGCAGAATGAGAGAAGGGAAAGTTGGTCTGGTGGCTGCTGGTGACTATTTGTATCTTCTCGTCTTGTGTCCGCCCCTTGCTTCTTTCCCTTCCTGATGCTTAGTCCCTCTCTTTGAAATTGTTTTGTGTAATGGTTGTGGCGCCCCCTGACTTTTCACCTCTAACTCTTGTCTTGGGACAAAGGTTGAATCTCCCAGGATTCTGACAGTGACTCCTTACCCGATATCCCTTGCCTGCCATTCATTCCCTTGTCCCCTTCTCTCCCATTATCTCAACAATGTTTGGGTCTCACAGGGCACTGCTACTTTTTGCTAGTGAGCTTAACGTCCTTCCAGTAACTAGCTCTAAATTCTTTGGGGGCGAGGAACACTAAGCTACTTTCCTGTCTCTACTGAAAAGCTTTGCTGTGAGGATGCGACGGTGGGCAGCTCTCTAAAGAGGGTTCCAGAACCTGTGTCTTCCTGGTCCTACCATAGTCTATTCTGGAGGCAGTTGCCTCTCTGCTGCCCTGGGATGGCCAGGGAGTGTCACCTTGACAAAGTCAGAATTTACTTGTGCCTCCCATCGCCACCACTAGAGGGCAGAAGTCAGCTAGAGCTTTGCTCTCTCTGGTATCTTTCCAACTCCAAGCTGTATCTTTCCAATTTTAAAAGGGACTGGCCTCTGGCCTCTCGACCTGGGAGGTGAAGGGGTAGGGGAGTTGGGCGGCACCGGAAGCTGTAGATGGTATGCTGTGTGGCTGCACTGATGATGGTCCTAACCAAAAGATCAGACGGGGTCACCTAAACTCCAGCAGAGATTTCAGCCTGGCCTGCTGGTGAGACCCCTAAACAAAATTAGTGTTCCTGTGGGGCCCAAGACTCTCAGCCTCTATCGAGACAGCGGTGCCGTGTTCATGAACTAAGTGCCAGCCTGTTCAAACAATACGGCCTCTGGGAAGTGAGTTAATCTCTCTGCCCTCTGCCTTCGTGGGTCTCATGAGCCGTGAACACCATTGGGAATAAAGGTGATGGGTAAACTGTGATGCGCCCCATTCGAGTGTGGGCATAGCTCATCCACGGGGAAGAAGCCCTGGACCAGACTCTGAGATCTGGTCTTAAAAGCGTCTCAGCCCCTTTGAGTGAATGGCCTTTGGGCAAGTCCCTTTCTTAGCCTCCAGTAATGCCTTCTGTAACCTCTCTGGGAAGCCAGGGAACTGGCCAAAGATGCTGCTAGTAAGGAGCATGCCCGAAGTGTATGTTTAAGCGTTTACTCCTGCTAAGAACATGGGAGTGTTTCCTGGGCTTGATGGAAGGAAGAGAGAGTCAGAGGGGCATGAGTGGGGAGAGGGAAGGCAGTGAATAGACACTTTGTTTTGAGACAGGCTCTCTCTACATACACCTGTCCTAGAACTCACCAGGCTGGCTTGGGCTTCCAGAGATCCGCCTATCTGCCTCCCTCCTGAGTGCTGAGATTAAAGGTGCAGATATGGACTTTCTTTGTTTTGTTTTTTCCAGGAGCTCTAGATGACAGCTGGAGACCAACAAAGTTTCTAGAGGTGGTGCTCAGCATCCTGTGTTGACAATGAGCGGGTGTTTTCCAGTTGTTGGTCTACGATGCCTATCTAGGGTAAGTGGGACCCTTCAGGATGAGTCCTCAAGCCCCAACTTTCCACCTTGGGATAGGAGGAAGCCCTCTCCGGCCCCTTTCAGATTTGCCCTGTCCACTGGCTCTCTGTGAATCCCTGAAAATTTCTCTGCTCTGCATCCTGATGCCTCACATAATGGGAGATCCCAAGCCAGAGATTCCCACAGACTGGTGCTAAAACCCCATCATCCTGGAGGTGATGAAGTGGAAGAGATGGTTCTCTGAGGGAGGCAGGTAGCCAGGTTCCAACACAACTCTGAAATGAGCTCGAGCGGTTGTTTTATAAGGTGTGCCAGGCCCCCCAGCACCCCGGAAGTAACGAGAGCCGGTAAGCGCTTGGGGTGTAGCTGGGTTGGTGGAAGGCTGTTCATCTCAGCACTGGGAAGGTCTTGAAGGCTGGAGAATCGGGAGTTCACGCTCGTCCTCAGCTACACAGCAAAGTTTGAGGTTAGCCTTGAGCTGCACGAGACCCATTCTTTACAAAGAAAGAATGTGGGTGTAGGCGTGTGACTGGAAACCAGGTTCCATATTGGATACTTAGCACACTGGCATAGGAATCAAATGCTGGACAGGAGTCAGAGAGACAAGCAGTGTGACGGGCATTTTAGGATTTAGAGGGTCTGTCACTCTGCCCTCCTCACGCAGCTGCTGGCAAACAGAAGTGGGCTGGGACCTGTAGGTGGAGGAGATCCTACTATGTCCATGTGCTTGCTTCCCTTTGGGCCCCCCCCATACTTCCATGGTTCCCACGCTGTTCCCCCTTCGCCATCTTCCAAAGAAATGACCCTGACCCCAAAGTCTCACTACTTAGGGCCCCCCACCATGTTCCAGCAGCCCTACTCCACCCTCCAGGTCCGACTTCATCCTAGAAGCCCCCGCACCCCGTCACCGCCCCTCCCTCCCCCGCCCTTTCAGCCACTGCTGCTCTCTCTCTCCTCTCCCCTACCTGTCTCCCAGGTGTGCCGTGGCCTGGCGAGGGGGGCTTCCACCTCCTTAAGCTCCATTGCTTCTCCTGCTGCCTGCTTGCTTCGGACTCTGGCAGAAACCCCACCCGCTGGCACGCGCTTCCCGGGGAATTGGCAAGTGATTAGCGATGGGCAGCAGCACAGGGCCCGGCAGCTCCCAAAGAGCCTTCCCTAGGTCTCGTGTGGTCTGCATACCTACCTGGTAATTTTAAGGGCTAAAATCCAGTTCTCTGGCCAGGCCGGAGGAGGCTCAGGAACCTGGCTTCCCAAGCCCTGCCACTTAGCACGACATCCAGGCCCAGGGAAGCCCACCTGCCTTGGCTTTTCCTGGAGCCTGGCTCCTGCTTTTAAAACCCTTGATCCCACAAAGTTCAAAGGGAGGAGACTGCTCCCCCCCCCCAAAAAAAAAACGATTCTTCCATCCACTCTGCTGATTTAGAGCAGAAAGTGTGGGGTTCGCCCACTACTGTCTGCAGCACCCTCCTGAGCCTCAAGGAGTAATCCCTGACAAGTCACTCCTGCTAAGTGAGCCCCAGAGATCTCATGAGGGCAGCAGAAAAGGAAGCCTCTGGCTTCAAGGCTACTTAGGATGTCCCCCTTCGTCAACCCAAGCACGAGTAGCTGAACAAACAGGCAAGCGACGGCGGGGTGTGGGCCACACCTCGGCTCCGACTCCAGCTTAACCAGCCTTGGGTCCTCCTCAGGTCTTGGATGTGCCAGCGACCCTGGCCGTGGCCCGCTAACCAGCCTCTCCCTGGCCGGCTCCCGCCGCGCCGCCTCTCGCTTGCCTTCTCCTCCTGCTCCTCTTCCCCCTGCTCCCAGGACGGCAGGATGGCTGCGCCGGGAGCGCCCCGCTTCCTCCTGACCTTCGACTTCGACGAGACCATCATAGACGAAAACAGCGACGACTCGATCGTGCGCGCCGCGCCAGGCCAGCAGCTGCCCGAGAGCCTGCGTGCCACCTACCGCGAGGGCTACTACAATGAGTACATGCAACGCGTCTTCAAGTACCTGGGCGAGCAGGGCGTGCGGCCCCGGGACCTGCGCGCTGTCTATGAGACCATCCCCCTGTCGCCGGGCATGGGCGACTTGCTGCAGTTCATAGCCAAGCAGGGCTCCTGCTTCGAGGTCATTCTCATTTCCGATGCCAACACCTTCGGGGTGGAGAGCGCCCTGCGCGCCGCCGGCCACCACAGCTTGTTCCGCCGCATCTTCAGCAACCCGTCGGGGCCCGACTCGCGGGGACTGCTGACGCTGAGGCCCTTCCACACGCACAGCTGCTCGCGCTGCCCCGCCAACATGTGCAAACACAAGGTGCTCAGCGAGTACTTGCGAGAGCGGGCCCACGAGGGCGTGCACTTCGAACGCCTCTTCTACGTGGGGGACGGTGCGAACGACTTCTGCCCCACGGGGCTCCTGGCGGGCGGGGACGTGGCCTTCCCGCGCCACGGCTACCCCATGCACCGCCTCATCCAGGAGGCCCAGAAGGCCGAGCCCAGCTCCTTCCGCGCCCACGTGGTGCCCTGGGAAACAGCCGCCGAGGTGCGCCAACATCTCCAGCAGGTGCTGAAGACCACCAGCAGGTGTTGAAGACCACCAGCAGGTGTTGAAAGACCACCGCCAGCAAGGGGGTTGCCGGGGGGGGGGCAGAACCGGGGGGGGGGGGGGGGCAGGACTGGAGATGGCCTGGGAGCGCCTGGTTTTTGACTCCTCCCTCTTCCCTCTTGCTTTGCCACGCCCCGCCCCGCCCCGGGCGTCCCTGGAATTCCTGTCCGCCCGTAGGCCGGGAGCGGAGAGTCTTGAGCGGTGCCCTATCTATGCAGTCAAACGAAGCTCGGCTGCCTCCTCTCCGAGAAGCGGTGGGCACCCCTTGGAAGGCAAGCAGTGCCCCTCGAGCCGAGAGGAAGGGGGCTCCTGGCAGTTGGGAGAAGGAACACCTCCCCCACCCAGTCTCCCTTGCAAACGGACTCAGCACCCCCCCCTCCCCCAATCCGCATGCCAGCACGGACTTCCTCGCGTAGACCTACGATGCTCAGGAGACAGCTCCGGGCGTGCTTGATCTTGCTTCAGCCAACGCCGCCCTACACTCCGCTGCGCCGGCTGCGCCTCTCTTCCCCCCCCCCCCAACCTCCCGCCCACGCCAGACGCCCCCAAAGGAAGTAAAAGCCAGAAGGAACAACCACCTCGTGCTGGTGGAACGAGGTCGAACCCAACCAGTGACCTCGGAGAGATTGACAGGTCCTCTCCAAAGTCCTCTTCCGAAACCCCCCTGCCCCCTTCCGCCTTTATGGAACAGAAAGCCATGTTTTTAAGAAGAGCCAGGGAAACCCAAACCCCTTCCCCCTCTAGTTTTCAGACCTATAAAGGAGGTGAAGGGGGAACAAAACGGCTCTTCGTCAGTTGCGCCACAGTGGGAGGGATGAGGGAGAGGTGCTCTTTGCTCTTCCGGGGTAGGGGAGGCCTGACGAGCCCAGACCGAACATAAGCGAGAGGCAAAAAGCAAAGGATGCGGCGGATGGCTGCCTGTGACTGGCAGGAGTCTGGTCAGAAGTGGAGGACGGAGATGGTGAGGTCCTCCCTGGGCAGTCTGCAGAGCTGTGTGCATGACCTTGTTCCCTTTTCCATCACGCCCTCTCTGGTCCTCTGACCCTGTGGGGCAACTACCAGGAGGTCAACAAGAGTTTTATTCAAAGCTGTCAATATGCTCTGCATGAGTCAGGGGTCCTCTGGGCAAGGTGCCTGAACTTGCCTCCGAGTTTTGGGTTTTTTGTTTTTTTTTTTCTTCTCCTGAGTACCACGCCCTCTCTAAGCACCCCCTTCCCTCTGCTGTGTGGAGCAGGGGCTGAACATGGACACAGTCCCACAGCCCAAGAGGTAGGCAGGCGGTCCAGCTTTGACTGCGGAAGCTGGCTTCTCGGGGTTCCCGGGGGTCCCCTGAGGCAGTGCTGGGTTGGTGCAGGGACAGATCTGGGCTGTCAGCAGCTGGGTTCCACATAGTTCCCGGGGAAGAATCCGGCGCCCTCTGAGCTGACACCCTCACACCAGCCATCCGAGTAGCGGCGGGTGACACAGATGAGGGTGCCCTCGGAGAAGGAGAGCTCATTGTCCTTCTGCCGGGTGTATGGGTATAGTGTAACCACTGCAGGGCAGGAAGAGAATCCTTGTGAGACAAGCCCTCTGCCGTCCCCTCCACCCCCCAAGTGACACAGCTATAATGCTGGGCTCTAGGGAAATAGTGGGAGGAGGCTGCAAGGGGGGGGCTTTAGAAACTTCACCTCTCTCCCCAGCTCAGGCAGTATTCAATACCAGGCCAGCTGCTCTTTTCCTAGGCTTCAGAACTCAGCTCATCAGAAATGAAGGGGAAGGAGAGACCAGATAAGGTCGCACCTCGGCAGAGAGCAAATGCCTCTGGGATGGAGACCAGAAACCCAGCAAATAGATTCTGGTGCCTTTTGGGTCTCAAGAAGGTACCTTTCTCCAAGTAGGCATCAGGGACCCAGCTGGGCTCGTCTGGTCCAAAACCCGGTGGAGGCGGAGGCAGCAGCCCCAGTTCATCCCCCTCCAGAGCTGGAGGTGGGGGCAGGAGCAGCTCTGTTGCTGGGAAGGAAGGCAAAAAAGGTGTGTGTGTGTTTGTGGCATGGGCCACCCTTCCACTGTCCTGAGGATCTCACTGGGATGGGCCACCCTTGCACTGTCCCGAGGATCTCACCGGTTCGTGTCACCACCCGCAACCCACCGCTGAGGCTTGGAGGGACTCAGCACAGGCTAGGCAGACCCTGCTGGACAACCCCTTAAAGGGCAGGTGGCTTAAAGGCCCTGCCAAAGTTAACTTCACATGAGAAGCTTTGCACGCGGCGGGGGGCGGGGCAGTGTAAAACAGCCTGGGTAAACTGCCTCCCTGGGGTTCCCGAGGAGCGCACGCTGCAGCCCAGAAGGCTGGATGAGAGTCTCAAGGTGGGCGGGACACTTCTTACCCAGAGGGGGCTGGAATAACTCCTCCAGCGGAGGGGGAGGCAAGAAGACCTCCGCAGAGATGGGTGGAGGGGGCGGGGTCCCGGGTGCTGCGGGTGGAGGAGGCGGGGTCGCAGGTGCCACAGGTGGAGGAGGCGGGGTGGCAGGTGCTACCTGTCCCTTGGACTGGGGGATCCCACTGGCACCCTCGGCACTGCTAAAGACCAGAGCACATGCAGATGAGGGGCGCCCTCTAACGGGGGCTGGGGGGCCGCCGCTCCAACCCAAAATCTAGCCTCATGACTTTCCACACCCTGTGGTCAGTTTTCTCGACCCCAGAAGTCTGGCAGGAGGCCCTCCCGAAACTCACCGGCCGCCTACCCACCCACCAGACTCAAGCGCTCACCCTGCCGAGGCCAAGGAAGAGGCAGAGGAGGCAGCGGAGAGCTTGCCGTCCGGCACGGCCGGGAGCTGCACCGGCTCAGGGATCCGGGGTGGTCTCCTGGGGGGTGGGGTAGGGTGACATGAGGAGGGAGGGCTCTCTGCTGAGCGGGCCTCAGGGTTGAGGAAGGGCGACTCGCGGAGGGGGAAGCTGGGCGCCAGGCGAAGGAGTATCAAGGCGCCAGGTGCTGCGGGTGAGGGGTTGGGTGAGGGGTTGGCGGGGGGGGGAGCAGTGAAGAACCACAGGGGGCTGGGCAGGGCTGGTTGGGATGGCCTGGAGGCCTCACCCCAGCGTGGCCGAGGCAGGTGTGGCTGGCGCCTTTATGCTCTTGCGAGACAGGGTCCCGGTCCGCGACAGCTGCGTGCTCAAGTCCTGAGAGGAGGGGTTAGGGTTGACATCTGGAGCAAGGGGCGCAGCTCTCACCCCCATCCCTGGGAGGAAATGGGGGAGGGGAGGACGAGAACTGGGAGGGGTTAGCCAGACTCAGCAAGTTCCCACTTCCACTTCCCAGCCCTCCTCCTGCCCTAGCCCCACCCCGGCGTCATTGCCCGAGCCACAAGAGTCCTTAAGTCTGCAGCACCCCCCCCCCCCCGCCCCAACCAAGCCACGGAAAGAAACCCGCAGCACAGACACGTCTGAGGGCCACTTCCTCTGCATAGCCACAGTGACTGAGCTGGCCTTTTCTCCCCACACTATCTCAAATGCCCAGGGATCCGGGTGGCTGGGTGGTCCTTAAACTCTGATTAGTTAGACCTTTACTGCAGCGTGAGCTGAGGAGACACATCTCGCGGGAAGTGTCCCACTCATCACTTCCATAAACCTACGGAAATGACCTCCCCAGATTCAAGGCAGAGGGATGGCAAAACCCAAGACACTCAGGAGAGTCGAGGATCGGGTGCAACTCGCGATGCGAGAGACACCATTGTAACTTCGGGACTTCCCCCGGGGTGAGCACCGCAGGGCCCATGTTCTCTGTCACCCTGCCTCGCTAGGGACAAGACAAAGGGGGAACTGAGGCACAAAAGCTAAGTTGGAGGCTGGGCCCATGGATCAGGGGTGGAGCTTGTGCAGAGTTTATAGAAGGCCTGGGTTCCATCCACAGCGCCATCAAAAGAAAAACAAAAGATAAGAAAGTTGGATGAGAAAAACAACTTACAGGGACCTGGGAACTGAAGGGGAAAGTTATATTCCCTTCTGGGGCCGGCATAGTACCCAAGGGTTAAACTTCTAATCTAATCTGGTAGGAAACGGTGCTGACAAGCTGAGATCTGTCTGTCCCCTCCACCAAGTCTGCCTTCTGTTGCTGCCTCCTGTCCCTGCCACCAGCATTCTGGGGTGACTTCTTAGAGCAGTGGCTTCAAACCCCCAGACAGAGGAAGTTGCCGTTCTCACGTGGCTGCGAAGTGGTTCTCATGCCCCGACAGCCTCCCTTCCCCCTCTTCCCCTTCACACCCACACCCAGTACCCATGGGTGGGGGGCGGGGACAGCCCTTGGTCTGAAGCCGAGAGTCTTCAGAGAAAGGGTGTGAGAGGGGAAGGAGGGGGCTGTGAGGTAGGACAAGAGCTCGGAATGAAGGGAGACGGGAGGGGGCTGCATGGCAGGACGGGGCGGGCAGTGGAGAAGAGAGAGGGCTTCCCTTACCTTGACACCATGGCCAATGTCATCCAGGCAGGTGAAGTTGAGGGGTTTTCTGTGGTAGGGAGTGAGGGGAGGCAGGCTTTCAGGGGGGATGACCTTCTGGCTAGGGGGCAGCCTCATGACAGTGGCTAACGTGCCGATCTCCCTTCGGGCCACCTTTTCCATATGCATGTTCACCGTCTATACACGACAGGGTCGGGAAGGCGATGGTGAGAAATAGCCTGCACAACACCCTTCCCTTTAAGAGGGGGGCAAACCCAGCACTCGGGAGACAGGCAGGTAGGTTTGTAGGCCAACCTTGCTTATATGATGAGTTCTAGTCCAGCAGGACTACATAGTGAGAAGCCCTGTCTCAAAAGAAAGAAGGGAGGAGAAAAGAACGGGGCCCACCGGAGGCAAGGAAATGCAGAGAAAGGGCCGGTTTTGTCCCCGTGGCCGTACAGCAATTAGGACAAGAGTGGCAGGAGAGGATGGAGCCTCTTTGGAAGCAACTTCCTGGTGGAAGAGACTTCAGGTTATTATTAGCAGGAACCAGAAGAAGAGGGGAAAATGACATCCCAGGGGATGCTGGGAAGGGCTTGAAGGA